GTGGAGCTAAACCATACTCACTTAAGCACCACTCTCTACAATTAGAGAGCCTATTTCATCTTCTCCGATCACTTACTCCCACACCGAAGGGGTTATCCGGCCAACTCCGGCCGGGCAGCTCTATCGGTGTTCATTGTTGCAGGGTCTCAGCTCCTGGATAGTCCAATCGGGTGTGAAACTCTGGTCCACAATCATCTAATGCGGTATTCGGTACGCACAATTGGTGCAGTGAGCATGGACCCTTCATCTTTGAGTTCTGCATAAGTTTCCGGTGATGGGAATTGAGGATATTCCACCTTCAGCACTGACTACACAAATGGAGAAGGCAAAGGATAAAAGCCTGGCACTGCCAACAGTTCTGGAGGAGCAGACCAAAAACAACAACCGGACTCCCGAATATGATGAGCATCGATAGCCCTTCACTGGTGGTTCTTCCCATCATTTTCTATTGGAGAAGGATTACAGAGATTGAATCATAGATTCCATGGGAATGGAGATACAGGAGCTGAAAGCATAGCTCAAAAGGATGATGGACGACTCAGCGAAGAAGAAGACTGACGCAGAGCCCTCTTGCCAGCGCCAGAAGAGTCCCTCCCAGGAAATACCAGTGAAGAAGGTCCCCAAGAATGAATCTGGGCAGCAAAGTCAGTCAATCCTAGTGCAAAGTAAGGTAGTAAGCAGCCATACCCATGATTCACGCAGGAGAAGAGCTAAGAGGCAGAAAATAGCCAGCCAGCAGACAGAGTATTGTAGACGCGCCCTGGGGCTTTGCTTCTACATCGGACTCAAATGTCACAGTTCTTAATCTGATCTCGCAATATGCAATGCAAGACTGATAAATCACCAAAGAGTCCAAATCCAGCAAATCGTTTTGGAAAACATATTTTTAAGAAAGAAGTGCCAAACACGGACTGCTTTGCCAGATATAGAGTCGCCACCTAAATATTTTATTTTGGGAGAATTTAGGAAACCCTGATTCGTGCCTAAGGCCACGTGTCCGTCATTACCAAAGTTGCCTCGGCTCAGGAACTTGGGTACGATTGGGGATGGTCATCTATGAGCACCCCCGCTCGCCCGATCCGAAAATCGGCCTATACTAAGCATGATATCGAGTTTTGAAAACATATGTGTTCTTATTCCGGTTAATTAGCTAGAATTTACTATGTGATGCACACAACACACAAGTATAGACTAGATCGCCTAATTTGGAACAAAGCATCGCATATCCGTTTTGTTTTGAAAAATGGTTTGAAGTTTGCTACTCACAAGTAGGCTAAAATGCGGATTTCAATAAATTGTCCCAATTCAAATAATCCAACCTTCACCCACAAGCATTCAGACAGTTTATATCAACTAAGCAGTTAGTCTCATGGAAAGCATGCTGTCACGTTAACACTTACACACATGCAAGATGCTAAAGCATAAACACTCACAATGTACTCCGAGCCAAAATACAGAACATGTTAGCAATCAATGTATGATCCAAGTCTATGTTAAAATGGCTAATGTATCGCATACAAAATGCAACTAGAATAGGCTCGGCTAATCTAAGGATGACATGTGAAATGCAACAACTCGATACACGTATTCAAGTTGGAATTGAAATACTATGCAGTTAGCATGATGAGCCGAGCCCGGTGCATGCAATACAGATGAATGATGCAAACATTCATAGCATAAGCATGCTAATTGAAACATGCCCTAGAACTAACCATCGTAAGCTGTTAAGTAAAAGGGAGAAAGAAGTGGAGGTTGGAAGACATGCATCACACACACGCACGCTTATTACACGATTGTGCCCTCTCGAGGGAGGCACCGAAAGAATGATACAAATTAATTAACTAACAATCTAATTAAATATTACACAATACTTAATTAATTAAATGAATTAATTAAGCTAAGAAAGAAGTAAAGAGGCCTCGGGAAGAGGGATGAATGCGTGCATGCTCGGCTCCGCTCAAAAATCCATCACCATACTCATGCTGCCTCTGTTTACACTGATCTGTACTTCTGAAAACTTCACAAGTCCCAAGGAAGCTTTAGAATCACTCCCTGAGCACTGTGGGATGTTACCGACCAAGAGGTGAGGCCACCGGCCATGGGGAACTGGTCATCGACCATTTGTGGTAATCTCGGCTAACAATTAATGGCCGGCCGGCATTGAAGATGGTCGACTGACCATCACTTCCTGCAGAATCCTGTTTTGCTGCAGCAGAGGACAGATAGAACATGTCAATGCATTTTCAAAGCAATGTTTGCACCACCACCCTCCTTATCATGTTTGAGACTCAAAGGAGTATGGTTCTCGACCCTCGGGCCATCAATCACGCATTTTAATGCATGATGGCTCAAGGTGCCAAGTGTGCATTTTAATGTCAAATGAAATGCACACAAAACAAATGAGGAACCCCCAACCTCTATCATGGTTTATCAAGGGGCAAGGAATGCATGCTTAAAACTATGCAACCTAGACATGCAAGCAAGCTAATGCAACATGAACATGCAAACAAACAATGTTGCACAAGGCAATTAGCATATAACAATATGCAAAGACAAGCATGTGACTTCATTCAATCATGTAACAACATGTGAGACAAACATGTAACAACATGTTAAGCAACGTAAAACCAAAAGAATGCATGCCAAATGCACTACCACTTAAGCATGCAACAACATATTAATAGGCCAAGTATGCGACAACATGCAAGGCAAGCATGCAACAACATGCGGGAATGGTCTTACACCAAGATGGACAGCTCTCTAATAGGTCCAAAACAGTGGCCAAAATGCTAAGGGCATGAGGGCAAATGTACATACAAACATGTATGCTAAATGGTCCAATACTTAAGCATAAAAGGGCAACTTTTAAGAACACTTAAAAGGAAAGGAAAGCATGCAAATGTGACAACATTACATGCCCTGCAATGAGGCTATGAGTGATGCTAAATCACATAAACAAGTCAAGCATGGCATACTCAAGACTGAAACCTAAGACTAGTCAAGGGACTTGAACCAATGCTATACAAAACAAAGAGCATATGGCAAGTATGACCCAAAACAGTCCTAAATCATGCTAAAGTGAGCCTAAAACATGCAATGACCAGAGCCAAAATAAGCTAAAACAAAAGGGGAAAATCATGAGGCATGCAAGGCTATCAAAGAGGTGTTATACTACACCTAATACAACCAAACATGGCATGATTTAGGCGACCAAAATCAAAGGTATGACGCGTCAAAATGAGCCCCAAAACCCACTTAGATGTCATCCCAAATACCCAAATATGTTGGCATACACAATGACACATTCATAAGGCATAAAACACGAACTTTTTAAGACATTAAAGGAGTGATAAGTGTAAGTTTATAAGCATGAAATATGGACTGAAATAACATTCTAAGTGATGCCAAACCACTGAAATGATCCACGTAGAGCATGCTAGCAACTTGGACACTCAAAACTAACAAGCTAGATTGCATGGTGGCTATACAAAACAATGCAAGCATAACCAAAACAATGAAAAATAGAGCTTAAGCATGCTACAACAAGGCTACAAGCTTCATGGAGTTGAGCTAAAATCATGCTAAAGACACATGTTACAACATGATGCATGTTAAGGCCAAATCATGGGATTACAAGACAAGTGTATGAAGCATACATGGCATGTCTAAACCAACTCAAAATAGAGGTGTATCATGGCAAAACAAAGCCTAATACATGCTGAAATGGAGCTAAAACAAACTAAACACACATGCTACCACATAAGCCATTTATGCAAGCATTAAAGACAACAAGGAGAGGGGATTCCCTCTCCTTTTTAGGACCTCAAAACCACCTCTCCACCACTGAAAATCCTCTAGATTTCAGTGGTAGAGAGGTCATGCAAAGACCAAAACAATGGCCAAAAGGTATGGCCTAAAACAAGGCCTAACAAGGCCTTGGAGGGGGGAGACAACCCCAAACCTCAAAGTGACCTCACACAAAGTTCTAAAGCACACAAAATCAAAACTTTTATCAGTTATAGTCGAAGCTTAAAACAATAAGCAAGAATGGGTAAAAGCCTAAGCAAGAAAGGGGTAACTAAAGTAAGGTTGCTCACCTTTGTAGACCTTCTTTAGGAACAAAGATCTAGCACCTTTCTTTGGTCAGAACCAATCCAAGAACCCTAACAACAACCTTCTAAGGCCTCAACAACCCAAGGATGGTGTAAGGCTAGGTGCTCTAGTGCAAAAGTAAGACAAAACTCACTTTAGGGCACAATATAATCAAACAAGGGAGTATAGATACAAAACTATATCTAAACTCTCTAACCTAATTTTTCTGAACCTTGGAGGAGGGATGAGGAGCTCCCTCTTTATAGAGGTTCAAATCCCAAGCTTCTGAAGCAAGCTAAGCAAGAGGCATATCCCTCCATATACGTGTATGGAAGGGGTGTAATGTTGATGCCAGCTGTCACAGCTGGCATAAAATATCTGCCAAAAGTAGATGGAAAGGGGTCGGCTGGAAAATATGGCCGATTGACCAACAAAAATGGCCGGCCGACCAAAAACAATGCTGACGGACCAAAATCTTTGGCCGGTAGCAAGAAAACAAGGCCAGTGGCCTCAAGCCAAGGACGGTGAGGTGTGGGGATGGCCAACAAGCCATTCCCTGCCCTCAGAAGCAAAAACACAAGTGTTTGGTGCACAACCATGCACAAAACAAACAAGTCAAGAGGTCTTGAGGCAAGGCGCACGACCAAAACCTCCGAGAACTCCAGACGAACACGAACATGGATGATCATCGAGTGTTCAAACGATGACGTCCAAGTCTTGAGGACGGTCAAAAATGGGGTGTCTACAAGTATCTTCCTCAAGATCTCCGTACTTGGTTGGTCGAGAACAGGCAAAATAAGCATCGACGAGATCATCAGGCTCAACACCTTGATCGAATTGTCCATCAGGGAGAGCACCGAGCACAACATCAGCTTGTCTCCTCCCCTTTCTCTCTAGAAATCGAAGTTATGAGACCCCCCAAGAAATTCACTGCACCAAAATTCATGTCATACGATGGGAAATCAGACCCACTAACACACATTAGTCATTATCGGCAGATGATGTCCTTGTGGAGCCAAGACGAGGCACTGATGTGCAAAATCTTTCCATCCAGCTTGGAAAAATTCAGAATTCGATGGTTCAATCATCTTCCCGCCAGATCGATTTACTGCTGGAAGCAGCTCTCTGAAGAGTTCTTGGCCAGATTCATTTCCAGCACTAAGATCCCAAAAGAGTCGGACACCTTGTTTGGTATCCGAAAGGAATATGAGGAGACGTTGCGCAATTATGCTAGAAGGTATTGGGAAGAGTATAATGATTTGGAGAAAAATGTTTGCAGTGACCAAATGATTGTAATGTCTTTTAAACACGGTCTGTGTCCGGAAAGCAAGCTGAGACAATCACTTACCAAGCCCCTAGCCACAGAACTGAAGGACTTGTGTGCCAGGATTGAGCAATACGCTCGCTTCGAAGATGATTAGATCCCCATCGAGGTAGAATCAGCTGAACAGACAACTCGAAGCAAAAGAAGAGTAGACCAAGGGGAACCCTGAGGACTCACAGTGAATGAAGTAGACAAGTCCAAATCCCATGAAGCAGTTGTTACAGTCATCAAAGAACCTATCTATTGCATTATGGAAAAAATCAAGAGGGAGCCGTTCTTTATTTGGCCGCCAAAGATGCTAGGAGACCCAGCTCGGGGTAACCAAAAGCTCAGGTGCACCTATCATCAAGACAGGGGGCATATGACTCAGAATTGCAGAGCATTGAAGCAACACCTGGAGGATTTGGTAGCTGCTAGGCACCTCCAAGATCACATTGATCCGAACAAAGTAGTGACTGAATAGGCGAATCCCTCACCAAAACCAGACATCGAACATCCACCTCGGTTGGTAATAAATGTAATTCTTGGTACAACTAGCCACGAATGCGAAGAGACACTTCAGGAAGAAATTGCAAAAGCTGTACAAATTCAGCAAGTCGTGTTAGTAGGACCAGCACCGAAAAAGGTAAGAACAATACCTAAGACCCCCTTATGTACTGTTTCATTTACTATGAAGGATTTAGAAGGCATTTAGCACCCACATACTAACGTATTGATTATAACTATAGGAATTGGGAAACGAGTCTTGGTAGATCAAGGTAACACAACAGATAGATTGCATTACGACTTGTTCAGGAAGCTCAGTCTCTCTGAGCATCACCTCACCCCACCGGCAGCTCCGTTGGTCAGTTTTAATTCGCAGCCTGAATGGCCACTTGGCAGGATAGTGTTGCCAGTTGTGGCTGGGACAAAGACCCTTCAGATAGAATTTCTGGTTATTAGCACACCGTCCCCTTACAATGCCATACTTGGTCGTCCTTGGATTCATCAAATGGAAGAAGTCCCCTTAACTTACCACCAGCTCATCTGTTTCCCAACGGAACACGGAGTAGAGCAGATATTAGGGGACCAAGTTGTATCAAAGCATTGCTTCATGGCAGCCATGAAGGTTAAACAGCTCTGCAATCAAGTTGAGATTACCGTCCCCTGTAAATCTTCAAGATTACCATGTATTGGGATAATGTAATAATTTGGGAACACCACGCCACCGTCATGCAACTTGACTCCCACGCTAGGGTGAACACCCTTTTCCTATGCCCGAGGCAATTATGTTGTTTTCGATAAACCTTCCAGCACTTGCTGCATCATTTGCTTCATTTCAGCAATATGTGTCTTTTCATTAAATGGTTGTTTCCCAAACAATATAGCTACAACCAGTTGGTTCAACATTTCCTTCAATTCACCAATGCTGGAGGATATGTTAATGTTACAATTTCTTTTAGTCGACTCCACCTAATCACACAAACACATACATTAACTTACTACGATATTTCATCTTCAAGTAACCTTTGTGAACTGTGCCAACCATGTGTACTGATTGCTTTTGCTTACCTTTGCATTGTCAACAACTTCCTTCCCTAAGAAATTGAGCAACATCTCCCTTATTTCCGCATTGTTGTGAAGCACTTGCTTCATCGTTTCCTTCAGTTCACCAATGTCAGACTCAACATTGCTCAAACGAACTTCATCAATATGTGGTTTCTGTTTGTTATGGACATGGTGTGTGCCAATTGCGTCATCAATGTCGTTGATTTCCTTCATTGTTGGATGAAACTCCACCTAACATAGTTGTCAAATCGGGATTCGAATCATGAATGAAAATGGTATTGTACTGAATCGTGAATTGATTTGAGTTGTGAATTGTAAAGTTTTGGTTAGCTTTCTTAAATTGCACACAACGTATATGTACACACTTACATATTAAATATATCTAATAAAAATTAATTTTTTTGTCTGAAATGAACAAAAAAATTGTTGTAAATGATGCTCATCTGGTGTGGATAAAAACTTCACACTGGATCCCATGTTTACCACCTGACCTTTTCCCATTTAGATAAAGAAAGACAAACTTTCAATTACAAACTAACTAACAACAACTGAACGACAATAACTGAACGACAAGGTCAAAAAACCAAAATCGCAAAAGCTTTTCCAAAAATCTGACTTCATGGCTTAACCAAAATTCATTTGATAAACGGAAGTAATACATAAAATTGAATTTGTAAGGCTACAATATTGTCCAGAGGGAAACTTCATGTTTGTCCCGCAAAAGTTTGAGTATTTGACTGTAAATAGGGAGGGAGAAAGTGAAAATATGGCATACGGTAATCCTAAATTCCGAAATACCTTAAAAAGGGCGTGTCAGCCCTTGTAGAACAATAAAAACCTAAATGCAGGCTTGTAGCCAAACATCAACAAATCGAATGGATTGACGATTCACCAATTCAGCTCACCGATTCAGCTACGATTCACAGCCTTTTCTGATTCACACAACCTATTTTGAATCATATGTTTGGAATCGCGAATCGTACGATCCCAATAACAAACCCACCTAATCATAGGAACACGAATGAAGTCTGTTATTGTTTGCATTACACAGGTGGGGCAATGTTGTCAAATGTGCACAACGCAAGGGTTGATTACCTCATGTTGCTCCAACATTTGCTTCCTTCTCATATGTCGCCGCGTCTCCCGTATCTCAGCATCACCCCAATCACTTAGCCGAGGGATGGACCGCGTACTAGCCGACGTACTATTACAGGGAGGGGAAAAATGATCCAAGTAAAATAGCTGCATTATAAGGGGGAAAAGATAATTAGTTTACATTTTTGAGCAAAATAATCTATATTCGTTAACAATGTAAAGTGACGAAATTGTGATGTGAAAAAATTGTTGATGGCATACAAGTTTGCACTTCACAATGGTACGGTGGCTATGTTTTACGCCTTTTTTTTCTTGCGAACAAAGGATTGTATTGATGCATACAACTTACAACACAATCATATTTATGAGTTTATGTGTCTCAATAGCAGAATCCCCATGCACCATTCCGGTTAAAAAAATAAACTCTTTCTGGTTAAAAAAATGTGGCTCGTACAAGTATATTTGTGGTGATGTTCAATAACAGGTAACTTTGTATTTCGCAACGACTTTATTGAACCATATGGACAGCAATGGATGAAATATGTAAGCAGCATGGTGCAAACAAACAACGGTTGATTACGTTACCATTAGAAGGAAAACACATCGAGTTGTCTCGCGCTGACCTTTTATCTTATACTTTCGAACACCTTTGACAAGGAATTACAGTGTCAACTTTGCCCAACTACATGCCCGCATACCGGTCATGTCCTTCATGACATGAATGAATGACAGACTCAAGGTGGTCATTGTGATAGGACACAACATGGCCCCCAACACGTACAGCGCAAGTTTTTGCCGAAACTCGTCGTCCGCACCATCAGTCTCAGTCAGATAAAGTCCCAACTAGTTCAAAGGAATGACTCCCTTAACAGCTCCAACCTCTTTGTAGATATTAGAATATGCATCTATTGAGCTAGACAACTGCATATCATTGCCTTTGACCATATACCCAATAAAACATGAACTTTCTCAGAGGTGAGCCTCAGGTGGCGCTCATGAACATTCAATGAACAGGTGTCGGGATCAAAGTTCGGTACCAACCATTGGCACAAGTCGTGATCTATACGGGTACACTTTATCCCTAGGAGGCCACCGAACCCAATATCAATGATTGCCTGCTTCTGTGCTTTGTTACACCGCTTAATGATATCAACAATTGGCTTCAATGATATGTGGACTTGCATTTTACTCTGCCATGTTATTAACGTGAACATTAATACAAAAATTTAACCAACAATGTGTGCATAGCAGGCCCTCCCCAAATGCAGTTATCAAAACATTAAGTACGTAAGTACCTTTGCAGATTTGTTTGCAACTTCTTTGCCCAGTTCCTTGGCACTTGCCTTAGCCATGTCCTGAAACCTCTTCTTCTCATCACAGAGGAGTTGCTTCCACCTTTCTCTAATAACCTTTCTGCTCTGTAAGTGTTACACCAAAGTGACGCAGATACAGGACAAATAACAATTGTAAGTCCAAAGTTATTGTCACCACAAGTTGTATCACTCGCAATGTGTGCGCATTTTGTGGTATTTACATATGATTGCACATAGAAATAACTATTTCGCACATAATTGAAATAAAAACGGACATGGACTTTTGCAAATAATCGAAGTTTATAAGAACATGCAATATGCCATCTATGACTGCTGGAAATCGCAGAATGTGACATAATAGAAGCACATGACTAGTGTGCCCATGGAATAGAAGTCCATACAAATCTTCACAACAGTCACGTGTTTCCATCAGTGTACCCTACTTAGTACATGTCTGCACACTAACCATTTTCGCTCCGGGGTTGTCTGCTTCTTGTATTTCCTTGAATTGTTGCTGGCTGCAACCATTGTGAATTTTGGTGTAAGTATATGTTAGATATGAATAGATATATATACATTTATATACACATATCGCAACCATTGACATTTAGGGACCATTGTGTATCCTCATCGGGATAGTCACTAAAAGGTTGACCCGAAAAGTTAAAGACAAGACTTTTACCGACAAAACTTTGAAAATGAAACTAACAAATACACTTTTATGGGACAAAATAAGTTGGTCCACAAATGGTTTATTTTGTGACACAAACAAATTTGGTCCCAAATAGATAATAATGCATCAGTAATGTCCAATTTTTGTTGCTAAAAATATAATAACCACACCTTTTTCGTATCAACAATATTAGGTCCGTAAGAAATTATTTTGGCCCTTAGTTTTTGTCTCTAAAATCTTAATTTCTTGTACTGTCAAGACAAAGTCAAATTTGCATAGGCGCAATCTGTGAGTGCAAAATATGTAATGCACAATTGTGCAAATTACTGTGAGTTGTTTTTGACGAGAGGGATTGATACTGTGAGCAGCTTTCAAGGAGACAGATCGAACCTATAAAAAATAAATGGTCTAACTGGCCGCTTTCAACGAGGGGGATCGCTAATGTCAATCATTTTTTTTTTCGTGAAC